GCGCATGCGCCCCAGAAATCGCAGGCGGGAGGGACGAAGGAAGGGGAGGAAGAGGGGCGGGCCAACTTGGAACCAACCAATGACAGCAGCGCGATCGGCGATCTGGCTCCTGCGGAACCCCCGGAGCTAGAGCGCAGGGCCTGCAGGGAGGGGTCCGGCGCCGGCAGCCCTGGAGAGAAGGCGGAAGTGGAGCGAGGACAAGATGGCCGCGAAGGTGGTTGCGCCCCTCCCCCACCATCCTCTTTCCCCTACTCCCACCCCGGCCTTGTAGATGGTCTTCTAGGCCCTCCGGGATTACACGCACCCACATAGCCAGCGTGGCTCTGTCCTAGGACTGACCCCGAGCGACGGGGCCGAAGTTTCTGACCCCAGGGCGCTGCGAGGGTAACTTGCCCAGTGGCACCCAGATCTGGGGATGGAAGGAGCCGGCCGGCCGCCGCGGTGTCTCGCCTCTGCGCGGGATACGACAGGTTTGCCGGGCAGGCCCCCGGGACCCTCTGTTCATTGTGGTAGCTGGAGGCCGGCTGACCCCGACGCAGAGTGCGGAGAGGCCCAACTTCTCAATCTCCCGGGTCCGATGCTGTGTCTGGATCCTTAGCGAAATAGATGGCTAAACTCGCTTCTTGGAGCCCGGATGCCTCCGTCACCCCCCAGCGCCCACCGAGAACAGACTCGGCTTCTTGGCTCGGCCCCTTCTCCACCCGCCCGGGCCCCCTCACTTCTCAGTTATTTGTTTAAAAAAAAAGAAAAGCTAGGGAGCTCTTTCCTTGTAAGTGAACCAGGCGTAAGGAACCTGGGTTCCGGTAGCCCTGTGTCCTTGATTGAGACTTCCTGAGTGTCTTACTTTCAGTAATTCGAGGTAATATCTTTACTGCCTTGACTTTCGGCAAAAACTAAGCGAGAAACCAGGCAGAAGCGCCTTGAGAATATTACTGAACGAGTGGAGTGCACAAAACAGTGTACCTAGAATTTCAAATTGCGGCGCATGATGCGGTGTTTGGGGCCTTGTCATTCTAAGCCTTTCTCAGCACGTTGAATGCTTTCTAGTGAGCGCTTTCAAACAGGCTGGGCAGGTAGTATTCCTATTTAGTAGATGAGTGGGCACAAATAGGTGAAAAGATTTTTTTTAAGACCGCCTAGCAGAACTTTTAGTGGCGTGGCTGGAATTAGAAAGGTCTCCAGACTTCGAGAAGGGCCGTCAGACGAGAGATACCTTGTCCTTGTCCAAGCCAGTAAAGCCTAGAGACAGATTCGAATATTGGATCAAAGGATGTCCTTTCTGTATTTGTCTTCTGGGGGAAAATGTGAGCTTGAGTCCTTGGAGGTATGTACCTAACTTCTCCCCACTTCCCAAGGAGTTCGTTTTATATGATGCTTTCACAGGGTACAAAGTGCTTTCATTTGTTATTTAATCATCAAAACGATTCTCTGAGAGAGAGATCATTCATTCCTGTGTTAGGAGAGAAATGAGGTTCAGAGATGTTATTTGTGGGAAGTTAAACATCTGGCTGAGCTACAGTAGAACCTAGCTCTTGATTCCAGAATCTTTGGTCTTTTTTTATTAGTAATTTCCTTCCTGAAAACACGTGTAACTCGAACTGCCGAGAAAGATGTATACTTCTTGCAGTTTTCTTTAGCATCTGCAGACTTCTCTCCCCACCCAATTTATAGAGTACAATCTCTGAACCACACCCTACATTTTGCAGCTTTTTAAACTAACCTCTGAACTACCTACAAGATTTGAACCGGTGGAAAATAGAACGGGTGCCTAAATCCACGGGTTTGGGGTATCCCACCTAGTAGTAGTGATTACAGAAAGCTGAACAGATAACCTTCCCTTCTGGTCACTTTCAAAACGCGTTCTAGGATTTGAACTATCTTCTTATCGACTAGAATGAGAGTTTATGTGTTATGTATAAAGTTCAGATAATGATAAATGTCCTGTCTCCACCTCTTTAAATGCACAGGGTTTCAAACCCACTCAGGATCTAAAGTTAAAGTTTGGGTGCCTGGGGCTCCAGTCTGAGGCCTAGAGTTTCTGACTAGGGAAGAGGGTCATGATTAACATTTTTTGAGTGCTTGTCACAGGCCAAGCACTGTTCTAAGTGCTTTGCATATATTACCTCATTTAATTCTGTGAAATTTTTTTCAGATTTATTTAAATCTCATAGTAGTTACTTTTCAGATTTCTTTGAACCCCTTAGTGTGTACTTCTTTTACTGGCACTTCACCTTGATATAAAATACTGGCTTAGTAAATATTATTTATTTTGATAAAGTCCTTAAGGTCGGAAACTGTCATGAACTCTGTCGTCACTTGGTTTGTCCAGGACTACTTAGTATCTCGCCTTGTGAGAAAAAAGTGCTTGGTATATTTGTGACTGGAATCAATAAATAATAGATCATATTCAGTCTGAGTTCTTCTGTTCTTCAGTTGGCTGCAAGCTAATAAATAAATTTCCAATGCAGGTTATATGAGCTTCAGCCTCTCCTACAGTATCACCTTTACTTATTTATTTTTAAATTGCCGACACAGATGCACCTGTAATAAATACTTGGTTTTTGTGATCAAACACAGTCCCATTTACAAGGCAACTTAGAAGTTAAAATTGAAATATAAACAGCTTAACACGAGAAATGAAGCAGAATTATATATGTCTTTTTCGCAACGGCAGTTTTGAAATTGTTCTTATACAGGGTAACAACAAAGGCATCACTTCATTCTTTTACAGTTCTAAGTTTAGTGTGTGCATTTTATTGAAATGGTTATTTTCTAAACATCCACATCATTCCATCTGTATCTTCTTCCTACACTTTTTCTTCCACCATCTATTTTATCCTTTTTTGTTTTATATTAAAGAATCAAATTTGTTTGACTTGCAAGGTTAATGGAATATGGCTTGAAACCAGTAGTGGCTCAAACTTTATCTTAAACCCAGAGCCTGTCATATCTGAACCCAAAAGCCTGACTGAAAGAGAAGCACACTATCACTAAGACTTCAGCACCTTATCTCTCAGAATCTTCAATTCCTAGAATTTCTCAGATTTCAGGGAATAATTTGTTTTGTGACATTTTTTGTAGATATCCAGTATGAATGGACTTCCAAAATAATATGGATATTCAACTGGTATTTTAGTCTTCTAATAACTAACCTGTTTAAATAATCAAAACCTTTTCACGCAAAGGGGACTGATTCCTGCTTGCAGAGGCATAAACAGGAAACCTTAGGTTCAAAGGTAATAAATAATGATAAGAGCAAATTTCTAGTGATGGTAGAGCTGCAGCTGCCACAGCATACTCATTTGGCTCAGGTACTCTAGGAATGAGAATTCTCAGAATTACAGAGCAGATGTGTTATGTTGCCTGGACACCACACTATCAGAAGAATAGGGAAGTGGAGTAAGGAGTTTATGTCTTACAATGAGGCAGTGTTAGTATAAGAAGCATTCCAAATGTGCTAGCCCTCTTAAACTAATGGCAGGCATTTTTTACATTACTTCCTCAATGTCTCTTATGTCCCAACTTTTTTTTTTGGGGGGGGGGGGGCCGGGGGCCATGCCACGTGGCTTGCGGGATCTTAGTTTCTTGACCAGAGATTGAACCCATGCCCTCAGCAGTGAAAGCATGATGTCCTAACCACTGGACTAACAGGGAATTACCCCCAATTTTTTTTAGAGGAAGACAAAACTCAAGATGAAACTTTCACTCAAGGATAAAACCCTATTTCTTAAAGGACTTTGGAAGGAAATGCATTCGTACTATGTGAGAATTAGATGTAAAAATGAAAATCAGAAATAGGACAAAATCCCAGATCAACTTTTTCCCTTTAAGCGCCTGATTCCCATTTTAGGAACAGGGCTTTCAGCACCACGCTCAGCACTACTTTTTCCTTCCCTATAGCCTGCTGCCTTTTTTTTTTAAGACTTTATTTTATTTTTATTTATTTATTTGTTTATTTTTACTTTTGCAGGGCCTTAGTTCCCTGACCAGGGCTTGAACCCTCACCCTCGGCAGTGAAAGCGCAGAGTCCTAACCACTGGCCTGCCAGGGAATTCCGTGTCCTTTTAATAATAAAAAATATTTTGCTCTACCACTGGTGATCTGTTGACACTTGCTTCAGAGTCTTTGAAGGGCTATTTCAGGTTTAGCATTCTAGCCATAGGATGAATTTGACTAGCAGAGTCATCAAAACTATTAAAAAGGCAAGTTGTATTGGAGGCTGCTTTCTTTTTATTTCTCAGACACCTGTCTTCTCCCATGTGTCAGCTCTTCTGAGAGCTATCCTGGTAAATCATTTCTGCTAATTCTTTCCAAGATGCCAACAGTATTTAACAGGCACTAACCTAGATCCCTCCTGCCACCCACTAGTTATCCTCACCACCTCTTCCCTAAATGTTAATATCCTATCCTTCCAGCCCAGAGCTAGGCTTCCTGAGAGGCTAAACTGGGAAAATACTGACTTTCTCTCTGTCTCAACCTCTCAGGAGGGAATGGTCTGATGTCCATGCAGTGCCATCAGGAAAGGTTGTCAGTCCCTGAACTTTTTGATAATTTAAGGCCTAGAATCAACAAAAGTCCCAGGTTCACATCTTTCTCTGAAAATGAAAGAAATGGAGGAAGCTCCAAGTTTGGTGCAATGCTGAATTTCTGATGCCACTCCTTGACATATTAAGAGAAAGCTGATCTAATCTCCCTTTTTAGTCTAGTCAGTCTTGAAATCCTGATTTCATATGTTCACTGAAAGAAGAGACTGTGGTTGGATGATCTTCCAGCATTCTGAAAAGATCTCTTTCTCTAGAAGACTTCTTTCTAAGGAGATTGTTAAATGACACCTAATGATTGTTTTCTTGCTCCAGAGATATCCAGCAGGGAAGTCCTTAGAGACATCCAATTTGAGGGAAAATCCACAATTATTCCAGCATTATATTTCTGATATTTGTCAGTGGCCCTCTGAACATCAAGATGGAAAGCTTTTCACAGTCCCTTGTTACACATTTTGGACTCCCTTTTTTTTTAGTTCAATATAAGTAGGAAGATTAGTAGTGAACAGAGTGGGAAAATCTCAGTCATTCTCCATCTCCCACTATTTCTCAACTCCTCTTGAAATTAATATCCAAACTTTCTGGTAAATAAAGTCAGGTCAGGATGGAAGAGACTTGTTTCCTTTTTTGGAGTTTTTCATGGTGCAGATAGGTGTGATATAAGGCTGTGGGTTCTGCTTGACTCTGAATAATCATAGCAATCCAGTAGGTTTGCAGAAATGCATAGAAAATTTATGAACAACACCTCATTTCTTAACAGTGGTGAGTCAAAGTGTTGACACAAAACAGCCCAAGTGAGGAATTCTAAGTGTGTTCACTTCCCCTCTCCCCAGCCTTTCTCACCACAGGTCCTGGTCCCCAAATGCACAGATTTGGCCCCCACTCTGGTCTAAAGGCACAGTGAGATGCCTTTTTGGAGACCATCAGCTTACATCCTTTTCCTTGTTTGGTGTCATATGAGGAAAGTGTTCATTTGAATCTCCCATGCAATGGTCACTGCAACTTAAATGACCTCTCGTTTGGTCCGAGGCGGTTGTGTGGCTGGTGACTGGGCGTCAATGACGAGAAGAGTCCTGACTCCTGGGAAAGGATGGGAGTCAAGTCCGCCCGAACTCAGACAGTTTGGAAGGCTCTGCTCTGGCTGGGGATCGTGCCGGGAGTGCTCTCTGCTTTGGTCAGGGTAGCGTGGTGGACTTTCTTTGGTTCAGACCCTCTTGCCTCCGGCCCCACGGGACCGTAGGTGTGGGTAGCCAGCCCTGGCCGGGGCGCCGCTTCCGAGGACGGTGTCCGCTGGCTGCGGGAGCCGCTGTTAGCCGTGGAGCGCGTGGAGGAGGAGCCCGAGCGTGAGCTCCGAGAGCCCGAGGAGGAGGAGCTGGGTTTCACAAGGCGGGCTTTCGGGGCTTCGGCATCTTCTCTGAAGAGGAAAAACAGCAAAGATAGATTTTAGGGCCACAGGACTGTGAAAGCTTCCGCTGCGGCTGCTGCTTTCTGAGGTTGCCCGATCAACTCCTCAAGGTGGAAACCTCGAGCTACCACGTAGGGAAACAGGGATTCCCCCTGCGTCCTGAGCCCTTTCGGTGGGCCTTGGCGGGTGTGCGGCCCCTTGGCCGGGAAGTCCACCCTGTTACTCTGGGGGAATGGGCACTCCCTACTGGATGTCTAGACAGCAATCCCCTTGACTGGGAGTTTGTCTGCAGAAGCCCTTTCATGGCCCGTAGGCTAGGCCCATTCTCTATTGCATGGCCTTTACAAGTGGAAGGCAATGAGAAGGAACGCAGAGTTTAGCTATTAAGTCCCTGTTGTGGATAGTTTCACAAGAAAGTCAAGGTAAACCAGTCCTCCTGCCCCTAGGCTGGAGCTCCTTACCCACCAGAATAATCCTTTTAACAGATTTAAGGTTAAGAGGAAATGGGACATTTTTGTTGTCACTAGGGAGCTGGGGAGCTGGCGGTAGAAAGGCAGCCTAGGTGAGGAAGGGGATTTCGCGGGAGGTTTACCGGATTTCATTCGGTCTCTCTTCCTCCTCGTATCTCTCTTTGTCTTTCCGTCGGATTAGCAGCCACACCAGGAGGAAAATCAGCAGGGCTCCAGCCACCATACCTGTCACCGCTCCTGCAATCATGCCGATGCTTTGTACATCTGTTTTCTCAGAAACAAAAGCAAAAGTAAAACCAAACATAAGCTAAGCAACACATTGACTTAAAAAACATAAGCTCTGGACAAGATGAGTATTTCCAGATCTTTGTATCTATCTTCCTGAGTTCCCCATATACCCTTTCTTGGTGTATGACTGTCCCTCTTGATATTGAAGGGGAGCAGAATACGACACCCCAAAATATGCCTCGTTGACATTAGGATTATTTTTAGCTGATTATTTTTGAGAAACAGCAGACACAAGAGAAGCTCTGAAAACAGAGTAGAAGTTACCCTTTGTAAGGGTATATCTATAAAGGAAACCTCCATTTGGTTTTGGTCCCCTCCTGGATATAATAAATTTCTTTAGGGGGCTGGAAAATTCACACATACTATGAATATAGAGTTAGCTACAACTGTTGAACAGTCCTTGGTAACTACTGAATTTATTTCAGTGATAGCCATGTTCTTCTGTAGATAAAGATGTTGACCTTACTCTTACTTGTGATTAAAAACATTTTACGCTGAACCACTGCAGAGACAAAACCAAACCAACCCTTTGCGTACTTACACTGAACAGTCACTCGCACCACACAGCTCTCCTTCCCGGCCTCATTGCCCGCTGTGCACTGGTAGAGCCCAGAGGAGGACATGGTGAGATTCTGCAGCAGGACGCGTCCAGGGTGGTTGTAGTCTACACAAGCAGAAAGATGACTGTAATCCCCTAGTGACAAGGTCTATATTTATCATTTATTGTGTCACTGACCTAAGATTCTATCAATATAATACGGTTTGGTAAGGATGAGGTGAGAGAATCGATCCCTTTTTGGAATGTGGGAAGAAAGGTGAACATGCCTTTAAACTGCAGTGCATCCTCAAAAGTTACAAAAGATTCTGAACATTTAAGGGATACTAAACACAATAATTAGATATAATGAATTTATAGAGTACATTTATTCCTAATCTCCTTACCACTTTTATTTTTGCCATTTGAGTAAAGAAAAGACAGATTTTTCTGTCCCTGTTTAGGGATGAAAAATGGAAGTTCAAAGAGGTCCAGCAGTGTGTTCAAAGTCACCTTGTGAGTTGCTGACAAAACCAGATTTAGAATTCATGGAGAGAGTACTGTCCTGCTATCTCAATAGACCGGTAGAAAGATGACTTACCAATCCTAGATTTGGGAGGCAAACGTTCATCCTCTCCCTCCTTCTCCCGGATTCGCTGCCAGTAATACACAATGGGCTTTGTGCCAGAGGACGACTCACACTGTAAAGTCAGGTCACTTCCTTCTGTCAGCTCTCCTTCCAATTCACACTTGGGTTTTGATGGTCTCACTGGCAAAAAAAAAAAAAAAAAAGATCCCCAAACACCCGATTCAGTGGAAGAACTACATCCTGTTGACCTCTTTTTCCACCCATATGGTCAAATTTTGAATGTGGATTCAATAGTACTTTGTTACCTCGCCATGCTTTACACCACTCTCCAAAATATACCCACTTCCATCCCCTGCACACATATACACCCAATTCCAGCTGTTTCCAGTGGTGCTGTTGTAATTTTTAGAGGCTGCCTCAGAAACTCTCTCATCACTTCTCAAAGAAGAGAAACTTTTATAATTGGAAATTTTAGGAAAGTTGAGTGTGATTTTACTAATACTGAAACAGGGACAGAAGTTCATTAACTTGTAAGCAATTAAGAACTTAGTAGTTCTTGCTATCACAAAACAGAGAAATGGACTTGAAGCAGATCTGAGAGATTTGTTAAGTATGAGGATACTATTTAAACAGAGGATATTTAAATTTTGTAATGGGCTACCGTGGAAAACTGTGATTATTTTTTCTTCTTTCATTACGACTAAAATACAAAACATACACACTTCTTCCCAGGGAACTGGACTAGGTGACATCTGTATAATACGAAGGATTGAACAAGAAGTTTTGTACCAGTGTGACACATTTGCCTGTCCCTCACCAAGACCTTATTAATAAGATGTAGGCATTTACGAGGGCACTCTGTCTTACCTAAGACTTTTAAGATGACGTGGCTCCACACATAGCGCCCTGAATTCTTCACCTTGCAGGTGTACCGGCCCTCATCGCTGGGCTTCAGAGGCTCAATCTGCAGGGAAGCATCTCCTGCCAGAAAATTGGAAGCAAAGGCCACTCGGCCCTTCTGTTCCTCAGTCAAGTTATTGTAAACATGACGACTGGAGTAAGTGATCACCTGTGGGACAGACGGAGGCAGACTCAAGTTGTGTGGCTCTCAGCCTTGCCCACTAGCTGAGGTCAAGGTGAAGAAAGGATGGGAATTCCTGGTGGTCCAGTGGTTGGGGCTCTGTGCTTCCACTGCAGGGGGCGCGGGTTCATTGGGGAACTAAGATCCTGCATGCAGCCACGCGGTGCGGCGAAAAAAAAAAAAAAGACGAGGAAAGGAAAGGAAATGGAACAAAGCAGTCAAGCCTGGGGGTGATTCTAAGAGTCCAAGAGATCTCTGTTCTAAACAAACCTAAATACACTATGTTTGTCTAGGCCTTCCTTTTTCTAAGAATACGAACACCTCATATTTGTGTAGCATTTTAACTATAAAGTAGTAATTGTTACATTAAATGCTCAGAACTTTTCTATTTTACGGGTAAGGAATTTTATTTTTATTTAAAAATTTTTTATATGTGTATTTTTTTATTGAAGTATAGTTGATTTAGAATATCATGTTAGTTTCAGGTGCACAGCACAGCAATTCAGTGATATATATATGTATATATATATGTGTATGTGTATATATATATACATATATATACATATATATGTGTGTGTATATATACATACACACATACACACATACACATATACACATGTGCATATATATACGTATATACATACACACACATATACACATATACGCATATGTGCACATATATACATATACGCATATATACACATATAGATATATACCTACATACATACACATACACATATAGATATATACATACATGCGCACACACACACATGAACATACATATACATACATACACATATATACACATATATACATACATATATATACATATATATATAATCTTTTTCAGATTCTCTGCCCTTATAGGTTATTACAAAATAGAGTATAGTTCCCTGTGTTATAAGGAATTTTAAATTTGAGTTACAGACTCAAGTTCTCACAGCTGAGTCCAGGAAAGAAGTAAATGCACAGAACGGTCCCCAGAGTTGACTCTGAGGGGAATTGAGAGAATGGAGGCTAAGAAGGGGAGAAGACTTACCTTTCCCCTGCATACCTTCCTCACTTTTGCATTTCCTACCACTTGCACATGATCTGGTCAAAGTACATACACTCCTTGTGTTAAGTGCTTTTACATCTAGTTTATTTCTCACAGTTTTTCCAAGTAGGCGTTATCTATCCCCATTTCACAGGCACATAGCAGAACCAGGATTTGAACACGGCAGTCTAAAGCCATCCAGTTCATTGTTTTGCTTACCACAGTTATCTCTCCTTGTCCCACCTGCACTCATTTCACTGCTCAGAAACTGCTGTTCCAGAAAGTTTGGAAATGAAGGAGAAAATGTGAAATGAAAAAATGTGTTTTTACAAAAGTTTCGAGCCCAGCTGAAGTTAAGGAGTAGAAGTTTATGGTTAAAATCTAGGTTTGATACTGAGGGATTCATTGTTGGCTTTCCTTCTTTGTCTGGCTTCGCTGTGAAGTAGTAAGTTAGGCGGGAAAACATTGTGTCCTTTCCTTCCATAAAATACACGTGAGCTTCATGTCTTTGTTTTCCCTGGCAGGGAGACCAAACTTCAGATTTCCCCAACAGGAAAAAACAATCATGATTTTTACTGGATTTTCATCTGCCTGCAACACCACCTCTAGTTCTTGAACCTTTTCCTGGTTCTCTTAGTCCATCCTCCTGGTAATCACAAAAACCATGCTGATCTGGTCTACCAAGACCTCAAGCCATATAACTTCAGTTCTGTCCTCCCCGCCACTTAGCAATCATATTCCTAAAATTACTTGATTTAAACATCAGCAAACATTTATGGAATGACTGCTCCCCATCAGGTCAGGAGGAGGCTATACAGATGAAGTAAAACCCCCTTCTTATCATCAAGTAATTTATAATCTAGCAGGATTAACAAGGAGAGAAATGTAAACATAGAAAAAGGAATGATTAACTTGAAAGAGTATCAAGAGACAATGTCCCAGAAGAGTTGGTGGCATTTGAGTTAGGCTTTGAAAGATGAGTAGACTAAATAAGAGATTAGAGAGGCAGGGAGAAGCTTGCTGGAGGGGGCATGCCAGATACACAGAACAGCACTAAAAAAAGGCAGCAAGCATATGGGAATCCCCCAAGCACATTTCTGGCTGCAGCTGTTCCAAATTGTTTCACTCTACTTTAAGCCCTTAACCCTACTGTCAATCACGTGATGCTCTGCAGCACAGGAAATGCTTTCCTGAAAAGATATGAAGCCATCCAGTAAAATGGCCATAAATGCTCTCACCGTTATATCAAAACTTTTCAGTATCATCCATTTTGCCCTTACCACCTCTGAAAAAAAGTGCTTTCTCTTTTTTCTGCATGTTCTTTTTCTTCAGCAAATGTTTATTGAACACATCTGCCGGGTGCTTTGCTGGGCACTGGAAAACAAGCAGGAATAAGACACAGTTTCTACCCTGGGGCCTCACAGTTTTGTGGGGGAAAAAAATGGGGGAGCAGCAAGTAAGAAAATTAAGGTAAACACTGTAATCGATAATACACTTAAAACGTTTTCAGTATTCAATTTTGTCCCCTCACTTCAACCAACACCACAGTTGTGATAATTCTGACATCTTTGTCACTATCGCCAACATATTTTTGAGCTCCAGTTTTATATTTCCAGCTACCTGGCCCCTATAGATGTCTGTCTTCTCCAGTCTACCTTACATAATAATGTAAGTTAATATTAATGTAAAACTCATGCTAGCTCTTTCCCAGATCAAAAGCCTTTCATGGCTCTGTGCCACCTCTGAATGATGACCAGATTCAGACCAGGGACATCAAAATGATCTCTGCATTACCTTTCCAACCTCGTTTCCTATTTAGTCCCCCTCACATTCTTGAGTGTAGTCACGGTACATTTCCCTTGCTTTCATGTGAGGTGCGCTTTCTTTATGCTCACATGCCTTTGCCCACTGCATTTTTCCACTTAGAAACTCCCCTTTCTCCATCTCTCCACATAAAGAATCCCTATTCATTCTTTTAAACCCCAAATCAATGTTAATTCCTTATGAAACCTTCCCTGATAGGACACTCAGACTAAGAATGCTGTCATCCATAGCATGTCTTGGCAACATTTTTTTTTTTTTTGCGGTATGCGGGCCTCTCACTGTTGTGGCCTCTCCCGTTGCGGAGCACAGGCTCCGGATGCGCAGGCCCAGCGGCCATGGCTCAGGGGCCCAGCCGCTCCGCGGCATGTGGGATCCTCCCGGACCTGGGCACGAACCCGCGTCCCCTGCATCGGCAGGCGGACTCTCAACCACTGCGCCACCAGGGAAGCCCCCATGGCAGCATTTTTATGTGAGGAGAAAGTGTGAAAGACAAGACATTGGGCAAACAGGTTGCTGGATCCTCTTTCTATAATTCTGGGCATTGTCTGAGAGATCCTTCAGGCCACTATGATTTTATGTATGTCTGTTGCCATCGACTGTCTTTGGCTAGGCAATTTTGCAACCCGGCAATCGTTTATTTAATAAACACTAATTGAAAACATACTCTACACTTGGCACTGTTCTAGAGATGATAACAATACAGGGAAATGAATTTTATAAGTGTTTTCAGGGACCAGGACATGCCACCCCCAAACATGCCACTTTGCATATGCATAAGGATAAGTTTCAGCAGAAGTCACTTGAGCTCCTGAAATCCCTTCTCTGCCCAAAAGCAGAGCCTCCCCAAAGAATTTGTGTCCATAAATCCCCATTCCCAGGGCAACTCTAACCTTCCCTTCTGGGAGATAAGAGGTGGGCATCACACCCAGACATTGTCACAAACTACCACATCTCCCATCTATCCTTCTAAGGGCCCATTTATCTTTCCAAAAGGTCATTTGCTTTACCATAGGTGCCCTTTCCACCCCTCCCTTCCCACACTAAATTAGGTATACTCTAACCACCTCTTTGAGTTACTCATTGCTGGGTACTCCCAGGTGTTACTTACACAATGCATGGGTTAATAAAATGTTTGCTTTTTTTCTTATTAACCTGTCTTTTGTCAATCTAACTGACAGTGCCCCAGCCTGAACACCTAGGAGGGTAGAGGAAAAAATATATTTTTTTCCTCCCTTACAGTTTTAAAGAACAACTTTTTTTAAAAAAAAGGTGAAATCGCGACTCTCATATACGTAGAAAATAAACACGTATCAAAGATTTTACTTAACTCGTTAATTAATGATGGAACCAGAAAGCTATTACAACAGGTTCACAGGAGAATTGGACTAAAGAGTTTATATTCTCCTTTGGACAAAAATTCATTTGCATCTCTATGAACAGGAACCATTTCCATCCTATGGATAGGAAGCTTGGCATCACCATCAGCATTCCCCAAGTTAACTTCCATTTCTGCAGAAGTTAATACGTGAGGAAAATTAGACCCTAATTCATCTCCAGAAAACTTGGACTCTAAGCATAAAGCTGATGTTCAGGAGGCACCTCCCTATGGTGTATTGCAGGGAAGGGCCAAGTCTTCAGGCTCGGGTATGGAGAAAGCCACTTTGGTATGACAATGAGGGGAATTAGATCCCTTGAAGGCTGTTTCCCGTGCGTTCCCGCCTCCCTTAGGGTGTGGTCTCCAGGTTCAACTCGCTGAGTCTTTACATTAGAGAACCTGAAAGGTTACTGGGAACAGCACTATGGGGGTGTCTCCTTCTTACTGGGATGAGGGTGGAGGGGGAATTGGGGCAGCTTCGCTAGGACAGCACCATCAGGCTGCTCCCTAAGACTAAGGTGAACTCTTCAAAGACATCTTAAAGCAAATTGGGGGAGTCCCCTAACCACGTGGTCCAGTGGTTAGGACTCTGTGCTTCACTGCAGGGGGCACGGGTTTGATCCCTGGACAGGGAACTAAGATCCCACGTGCCACGTGGCACGGCCAAAAAAATAAAACAAATTGGCAAGCATGGCCAGTTAGAGAATATTTAGGAGAGCGAAGAGAGGGTTGAGGGAGAGTCATCCATAGGTA